CCCCGGGCGCTCAACAGCCATCCTCTCCTAGTTATGCACCAGATCGACATGGGGCAATGCAGGTGGCTCCAAAGAGGAAGCGGGTATTTAGTAACCGAACGAAGACGGGCTGTATGACCTGCCGTCGCAGAAAAAAGAAATGCGACGAGCAACATCCGGCATGTAAGTCAACTCCTAATGGCTCTAATTCCCACGTTCTTTTCTGTACAAATTATTCCCTGTCCAAATTCTACCGAAGGAGCGACATTAATGATGCATTGTAGGCAACAACTGTCTTCGGGGAGGCTTCCTGTGTGAAGGGTATTCATCCCGAAGCACCTGGCAAAAGCCGTCTAGTACAAAAACCCCGATCCCTTTGCAATCCAAAGAAGGCTATTCAGATATCAATGGCTTGTATATGCAAGAAGTGCCCCGACAGCAAGAGCGACAACCCAACTTAGTGGAACATGTCGACGCGACCAAAATCAGGCCCCTAGTGGTGGAGGATAATGACCGCCCTGTTCAACAATACAACACCAGTCCAACGCATACACCATCCAACCATGCGTGGTCAAAACAAGCTTGGCCAGGCGCCGGCCCGGGGTCCGGGTCCAATGCCGGTCACCCCGCTTATCCATCCGAATCCATAGCAAAAGTCGTCGATTACCGGGAAGTCCCACCCATCCATGAGCTATCGCGGGAGGGACGTCCCAAACCTGACTATCCGGTCATGTCTTCACTTCGAGACCTCAGTCATCCATCTCATCCTAAATCCAATATGCCCTTGTTCCAAAATGAGCAACGGACATTGCCCGCGGCAGCTGTGGACACCCATAGTCCGCAGGCGCAGGCTCGGATGGCACTAAGCATCGAGCATCAGCTCTCGGGCCGTACCGTCCCGAGCGATGAGACCGAGAAGGAAAAGATGATCAACGGCAAACTCTACCGACCCTTTGACGTCCACCTCGTGGAGGAAAGGGATCGTTGCCGAGGCGCACTGTGGAAATTCAACAACGCCTGCAATCCGCTCACCGGCGTCAGTGTGAAAGAGCAAAACCGCCTGCTGAAGGAGATCATCGTACCCCCGGCATCTTCCATTGTCAACCCACCAGCCGGAAGCAACGCGCCTCGCTCTGCCGGGTCCATCGGCCAAGGGGCCGTCGTCGAAGCTCCGTTTAGTTGCCACTATGGTTATAATATTCACATCGGGGAAGACGTCATGATCTCAGAGAACTGCCTGTTTGTGGATGACTGTGTTATCCGCATCGGTGCCCATACGTGGATAGGCCCCAACGTCAAAATAATTAGTTCAACCGCTCATCCCAACATGCAAGAGCGCAAAGGCTCGCAAAGTCGGTATCAAGGCCGTCAGGTCATCATCGAAGAAGATTGCTATGTGGGCGCGGGCTGCATCATCTACCCCGGGGTTCGTCTTGCTCGTGGGGTTTACGTCGCCCCGGGAGAGATTGTCAACACGAACATTGCAGGTTACATGTTTCAGGGGTCGAAACCTAGCTTTGCTATGTGAACGAAGTGACGTGTTTTTGATTTTTGTATAAATGTCCAATGACCTTACGCTACGGTGCTGGTCTACTCACGCCTATATGTGGGAGAGCAAAATTATGACTCGCATGTGTTTCTTCCTCTGGTTTGATCTTATTTATTTTGTCTCTTTCTTACTGGTCTTGTTTTTGATTTCGATATCCACTGTCCCTGACGAATGGTTTCCCTTTAATTTGTATGTTATTAGCGTTCTGTGCGGCGAATCGGGGTCATCTTGCAGTTTATACACAATGTTTCTGCATTATTCAGCCTGTTTACCTCAATTCAATCTCGATTCTGCTACATATTTTAATGTCGATTTGAAATCAAAAATCTGCTACACTATCCCGAGGCCGGTTGCACCGAAAAAGAAGGAATTAATAATATTGTAATAAAGGGTAATCGTTAACACAAAGAAAAGAAAACATCATATCGCGTAAGGGGAATCTATCCAGTTTTCAAGTAGCATTTATGTTCAATACATCAGACCCACCATAGATAGATGTCAGATGTAGAAATGCAGTCATGATAATCGCACGGAAAATGTGAGGCCCGAAAATCGCACTTTTGGAGTGGAGAAATGTAGCAGTTAAAATCGAGTTGAATAAACAACTAAAGCCAGTCGAGGAATTCCGGGACGAAATAAGTAATCACGATCCCAGCGCCTGCTCTCAATATGCCTTCGGTGCTCTCGAAGGCCATGTCCTTGAGATTGAAGACACCGGCCTTGGCAGCGGCATGAATCATTGCAAATTCACCACTGACCTGGTAGGCGGCCACTGGAAGATCGTGTGCCAAATCTTTGGCATCCCGGATGATATCAAGGTAGCTGCTGGCTGGCTTCACCATGATAATATCTGCACCCTCGGCCATGTCTCTCTGTATCGCACGTCGGGCAAGACCGCGGCCGCCCGGAGGAAGCTGGTAGCACCGGCGATCTCCGAATGAGGGGCAGGAACCAGCCGCGTCGCGGAACGGTCCATATAAGCAGCCGCTGAATTTGGCACTGTAAGACATCAAAAGTACACGGTGGGCTAAACCGGCTTCAATCAACTTGAGCTTGATCGCCCGGATTCTTCCGTCGTTCATGTCTGATGGAGCGACGCAGTGAGCTCCGGCTGCCGCGTAGGCAACAGCTACATCGGAAATCCGGTCAACGGATTGCCCATTGTCGAGGGTTCCATCCTCTCGTAGGATACCACAGTGACCGTGCGATGTGTACTCGCAAAGGCACACATCGGCTGTGATATAAAGCTGAGGGAAACGAGATCGGAGAAGACGAATGGCTTTAATCACAGGACCATCGGGGTCATCTGCGGCGGTTCCCAGTGCATCTTTGGCGGACGGGTGGAGCGGAACACCAAACAGCATTACCGAGCGCAGCCCCTTTCTAACAAGGGGGGCAAGGAAAGGAACCAGGCGATTGATTCCACGACGATGTTGATTGGGCAACGAAGGAATCAATGTCTCCTCATCCGGGTTGTCCGTGACGAACAAGGGATAGATAAGCATATCCTGCAGAGATAATGTATTAGCGACGAGTTGCCAGTGCGATTAAGTGTGTCATATTATGGGTTTCATAACACCATTGAGGGCGGACCTTTGTTAATTGCCTATCGGCCTGCCATGCTCTGGTCAGAGGATGGCTGTAGCCAGCATGTAGCTGGCTAGAGACTTCGCCAGAAATGCTTATGCTTGTGGCTGCGGTGCTGGCATACGACCGAGCGGTCGCACGAGACATCTGAGATCGGGCATGGGAGATTTGGGAGCTGCCATCATCCACACGAGCATCACGGAAGGCAATATCGGAGACCAGATTTGAGAAAGACATGGTTGAGAGAAAGACAGACGACAGATGAGTAGGAACAACGGAATATCCAGAGGTGGAATTTAAGGGAATTAGGGAGGAGGATAACTAAGGTGAATATCAGCGACGTTGATTGGTTGACTCAGCCCTTCACAACCCGCACTTTTGGCCACTCCGAGTCAGCCGGATAACCGGGCGAAGATTAGATCGCAGAGTTCTCCGTACTCCGTATGAAAGATATGCATAATTCAGTAATAATAATGGTCTGCCGCATGAGCGGCCTGTCTTTTTTGTAATCTTTCCTAAAGTCTTGGGTATTCAAACTATAAACAAGAAATATGGCTATAAGAAGCTGCCCTTTGTAAAACGTGTGTTGTAATCTGCTGCCTTCTTGACCATCTCCCGGCGCTGCGCGCTGGATATCTTCGAAGCAACTGCCATATCCTTCTCTCGGTCAAATGCGCGCGCACTTGGATCATCCTCTTCTTCCGGTGCCTGAGCTTGGGTTTCTAGGCGAGTGGTCTTCCCGGTCATCTCCTACAAGACGTATGTTAGAACAAAATGAAGAACGCGGAGAGAATAAAGTATGAAATTTCCGAGGAAAGTATATGCCAATAATTACCTTGTATTTCTTGATTTGATCCTCCATCATCTTTGCGTTTGAAGGACCTTTGTAGTCCCCGGGCTGTTTTTTTGAAGCAGCAACGCCCATGACTGCATCCTGTAGTCGCCTCATTCGCTCCTCTGGAGTCTCAACCCACGAGGAATCTAGATCCTTAGATGCCGTGGCTGATTTGCCTGTATTGAACTTGCGACTTCGTAGTTGTGTAGGGTCGACCTTAGAAGACCAGTCGGAATGGGAAGGAGGTTGCAGCATCCATTGATCTCGCTGGTTTTCCTTTTCCTTTTCCACTGATTTAGATATATCAGGAGCCGTGGGCTCTTGTCGCACAGAGCCCACTGGACCGGAGGGAGGAAGGCTTGGACCGAAATCATCGTCGTCGTCGTCATCATCATCATCATCATCTCTGCTAGTTTCACTCGCCGCGTCGGCCTCCTGAGGTGGCGGGAGAGAAGGTCCGATTACCTTCCGCTGCTTCGCGACCGATCCAGGTTGAGAATCATCTGTAGTCTCGTCAAATTTCCGCTTGTCTTTGGAATCCATTGCTGTACTAGACGTAGGAAAAGAAGTCGAAGAGCACATTCATTTCTCGAATGACTTTTATCTTATCGCCCCCCTTATCGCGTATGGTAATCTCGTAACAGCCAACCCTGGAAGAGCTGATGTCATAAAAGGTACCCGCGGCCGAGAACTTACTTGCACGTGCCCTGTTTTGTATGGAATTTACCACAACTTTCCACTTCTCACATGTGCACTTCCCTTCTTTTACAAAATGCATTTCTGATACACTGTACATTCTGAACATATTCAGGTTACTTTGCCTCTTTGATCGATCCATGATAACTGATACATTACATTCCGTTACGCCTCTTTTCGTTTCTCTACTAGTCACATCGAGACCGCTCTTTCGACCCCGCATGCCCGTCAATAAACCCACTGATAACACACACCCAGTGTGCCTTAATTGAACCCCCTAAAATGGTTATGCTCTGTCAACCATCTTGATTCAATACGAGCATGGTTCAGAGCTGAGATACTGAGGATAAGATAATGGGCCATCCACCAGAAGCACATGGGAAACCTAACATGCCCACGGAGGATGGAAGAGAGGCGAGTCAACTTACAGACAACGCTCGAGATATGATTACTCTTCACGGGGATCAGCCAACTTCTTCGGATAGTCGATACCAGCCACAAGAATCTGGTCTTGCACAAAGTCATGAACAACCAAGGGTCCCTCGGAGATTCCTACCCCAGCCGATCGAGATCGTATCACGAAGCTCCAACGTCCAGCAGCCAGCTTTGAGTGGAGCAAATCAACCCGCTCCATCAAAGCCAGAAACACATTCAAACGACCCTAGTGAACATCAACCGACCAGAAGGTTTTTACCCGAACCAATTGAAACAAGCAAGACTAGTAAGAGACGGTCTTATTCGACTTCTGAGGTAGATGAGAGGAACTCTACGTCGTCTGAGCAGACATCAACGGCTCCAAGAAGATTCAAACCCGAATTGATACAAACTGAGACCCGCTCCGTTCGAAAGGGCGAACCTGTCCCGTTTCCCAAACGGCATAACGCCGTAGGATCTCCAGCACCCCATACAATCATTTCCCCAGACACAACAACATGGTCAGATATAAATACCCATGTCCTCACTTATCTGCCATCCGAATCTCAGTTTTCTTCTTCCAATCTTCTGCGCCGACATCAAGCTCGCAGACACTCGTTTCGAGTTCCGGATCTTCCATCGATCCCCTCTGACAGCAGCGAAGATTCGGACAACTCCAGATCGCATTCAACGTGCACTTCCCCGCCCGGGCCTTTCCATAAAGTTACACGAGATTTATGCACAAGCAAGCCACTCCGTGCAACTCCCAATGGGGAGGTTTCGGAATTCTTGCTCTCTCTTGCCGCTCAATCCGCACATATCCAGTTGAAGGAGCAAGCGTTGGCTGCCTTTCCCAACGAGCAAGTCTACGTGCCTGTTGATCATTTCGCCATCGAGGAAGATAGTGGAGATTCCGGCGATTGTCATATGCCTAATTATGATCATGTCAAGTCTCGACGACAATCTTCGGCGGATTTGTCTTGGGAACTGGACTACATGCGCCACCACAAGGAGGAGGCTGAAATGAGGATCCGGGCTATGGCTGCATCTGGAAAACGAAAATCTTCATCACAACTCAATGAGAATGGCAAGAGCCCGCCCATGCTTGGCAAGGACATCGTCCTTCCTCGATGCGCCTCACCCGAGGGAACGATATGTGACCACTTTAGCCTCGATGCGATTTCTCGTGTACATGATCTTTGTGCTGGCTGTGGTGACTTATGGTACGCATCGCCTCCTCGGGACGGCGGAAAGGGTTCTGGTCTTTGGATGGGTACTTGTTGCAAAGACGAGGGCCAAGAGCGGGAGGGGCACGGTCTATTCCCCGGAATTGTGACCCCCATGCCTCGTATCGATGAGTCTGGCATTAGCATGGGGCTCAGCCCATCTCCTTCACATACACATCTGAATCATCTCGCAACCTCGCCCAGAAATCAGAGTCCCTGGAAGCCCACGAGTCCTAATCTCCAGAAAGTCATCGAGTCCGAATTTCATGATGGATTTGTGACTCAAATTTATAATTACTTGTCTCTGGGTTACCCTTGTCTTGCGCGTTATTATGATTACGAACTCAGCAAAATCTCGGGTATTCCCGTCGAGGCTCTTCGTCGGGACGACTTGAAAACTGATGTTAAAGGCTATGTTGCAGCCCCAGACAAGGATGATCTTGCGAATGCCTGTGCACGATGGAAAGCGCTCCGTCTATACATCCGGGAATGGGCGAGGCAGGAGCCTGGTATGACTGGAGAAGATCCCAATCCTGAAGGCTGGGGAATGCCAGAACGAAAAGGCAGCTGGGCTATTTGAAGTACGTACTTGAAACATATAATTTGTATGTTACGGTTGAGAGGCGTGCATTGGTGTTTGATTGACATAAACGGCGTGGGGTGCGTGTGGTGCGTGTTGAATTCGTGGCTATTTCTTCAGGCGTTCTTGGGTTTTTGATAGAGGTCGGCATTTTACATGTGTAGCATGCCCGTGGTACTCTACTACCGGGTCACGGTCACTTGAATTTTTAACTTGACCGATAGAGGAGCCAATTTGCATTAGAATTAACCCAATATTTTGCTCTCTCCCCTTAGTCTGTGATGTGTCACGTAAAGCCGCTCACGTGTAATCCTATTGCATAGTCCCCTTTCGAGCCCTCTCATGAACAATTCCTGGGAAAATCTTCTGTTCTGGAAGACCGTCTGATCCCCCAACTCCTGTTCCACTGCCAGGGGACGAGAACTCACCCGTTCCAAGGCGAGGTGATCGAGCTACATATGTCGACGGAGCCGACGGAGCGGTGGTTGTCTGGTTTGTACCATGGGCCTCACTGAGTGAGGCATCAGTAGTGTCAGCTACACTTGAACTTAGCTCAGATTGCGACTCGAGGTTAGGTGCATTGTGATCTGAGAATTTCAAAGTCAGTCGGCCGCATAATTCCTAATTCCTTAAGATAGATTTACCATGATTCGAGGACACCGATTCCCCTGGTGGACCTGGAGCCAAGCTCTTCTGTTCTCCGGTCCCATTGCCGTCGCCATATCGCTCGATCCTGATGAGACGATGTACAGTTAGTCTCATTTCTTTGACGTCAAAGGCACGATAGGCAACTTACAAGGACCATTCTCCCAGCAATGTTTCATGTCGGAACGCCTCACGAATATCTGGTACATTGCTCTTTGCAACATTATTGCCAGCGATTCCAGGCAGGGAACAATTCGCGCCGAGCCATCTTTCTTTGAGGGAAAGCTCAAATCCACTTTGGTCGACTGAATGTTTGGCGAGTTCGCACATGTCGACTGCGCTGAATTTGTAGATCTGCGCTGCAACTGAGTATTCCTCAATGAGAGGCTCCTTTGTAAATGCAAACTGCAATGGATCATCGGTAGACAAAGAAACATTGAGTCCTCGCTTGAAGAAGGTCGCGCAGGGGTTCTTATCGTATGTAAGGAACAAAGCGTTGTTACTGAGTGGTGACATGGCAATGCCAATCTGATCCAGATAGTAAAGATATTGCAGGAAGGGTACCTTGCGCAGCAAGATACCATGACTGATGCTGTGGCAGCAGAGGAAGCCGACAGCCAGATGATCCGGGTCGCCTGCCTCTCCACAATGAGGGCGTAGAACGAACGTGTTGAATCCTCGGCGTTTCCGCCAGTTGTTGAGGGAAGCGATGTTGGCGAACATGAAATACAACCAGTAAGTGTAAGGCGGATTCTGCTTGGTGTTCCACTCCCGGGGGATGGGGTACTTTCTGTACAGCCGGCGCTCGGGCTTACTTTCATCATCCACACTGTCGAATCCCACCACTCGCTGGAGGAAGACGTGGAGTTTAGGATGGCTAGAAGGATCTTTGGTCACTTCGAACAGCGGTTGGAAGACATTGGTGATAACTTGTTCATAGTTCTCCATCATGCCGCTTGATTTGTACACATCATAGAGACGAGGCACTTGAATGAGCCAGCGAACATTAGGCGAGAACAACTTGTTGTCCACTACCCAGGCCGCAAGCTTATCCCATTCCTGAAGGGAACGACCGTAGATCGAGATTCGCCATTCCACCATTTGGTATTTGCTAGATTCTAAGTCTGAGATTACTTCCTTGGTGATCTCTGCGAGGTAGCGACCTTTGATGTAATTGTCTGTTTTGAGGAAGATTTCACGCAGTCGAGATTCTCCAACGGGATTATACTTCAAATTGAATTTGTCAAATCGGTGGAAAGAGTCGGTGTGTGCCTACGAAGTCAGAGTCAGTAATAGTAAAACCTGTAGCTTAAGAGTGAGCGTAGAGGAAATGTTGATGTATATAGGCTGCATCTTCCTTCATCATCTAAAGATTCGGAATCGAAACAAGGGATGTGATGAGAGACTTACGTGCATATCCAAAGTATCAATACTCAAATCATAAGCAGTCAGGTTAATACTCTCAAAGACCTCTCTCAAGGTCAGATGTTTTCCGTCTCGGAAAAGGACAACTTCGTCCGGGGACTTTCTCATCTTGCTCTTGATGAAGCGAAGAAGATGTTTCTGGTTCATGCATGCCGAATGATGAACGTGGGTATCCACTTTACGCACGTTGTAAAAGTCCCTGTGAGGAACCTTCTTGCTGTCGGCCATCTCCTGGTATTCATTGAGCAGCGTATACAGTTGGAATTTGCCCTCCAAGTACGACAGCCGCTTGAACGCAAAACTCTTCGCAGGTCCGTCGGTCGACACATCGATCACGGCGTCCAGATCCATATAGAAATCGCGCAACGAGGGAATCTGAACAATAGGTGTTTGCTGGTCAGCAGCAGTTTCAGAATCAAAGACCTGATATACACTGTTGCCATCCAGCCTATACGTCCAGGGTGATTCTTTGGGTAGAGGCATCAATTCTTCCATGTCAAAATCCTCCCCAATATCTTGGCCCATTTTCCTCTTCTTTCCTGCAAGGTCAGATGGGTCACCGATGTTGCCGGGGTGATATTCCTTCTCATGATCCCACGCTGGTTCTGGAGGCGGAGGATAAATCTCCCAGTCTGGTTGGTCCTTAGGATCATCTCCGGGTCCCTGCAAAGAAAGCGCCAAGTACTGGGATCGCCGATCAAGTAGTTTCTTGATTTTGCAGTAGATAGCACTCAGCTCAGACGTGACAGCATCACTGCTAGACGCATATCCGCTAGCAACCTGAGGGCCTCCGATCCCCACACCGGCGCTTTGCAGACTCGCCGCCGCCACCGAGTATGGTCCCTGCCCTTGGACAGCATCTAGAATCACCGCCTGGTTTCGGGCAGAATCGTTCGCCTCGTCTTGGTCGTCTTCGAGGTAACGTGGCACAGAGGGATTGGGTTCACTGGCGGTTTGCAATCGTAGTGTCGAGGGTTCGTGTTCAAACACCATAGATCCCTCGCGAGAGATCTGGCCTTGACTATTCATCGGATCCGAAAGGCTCGGTGATTCTTCAAGGCGTGATTCGAATGTTGAGCGGGCTGGGGCCACTGGGCTCGAAGGCAGGGTGTCGTTCCGCGCGGCTAGCTGATGATGTTGATAGAAGAGTCTTGCCTCGGCGTGACTCATGGACTTCTCATAGGCATAGTCATAGGTGGCCGTTTTCTGCTGTTGGTCTCTGGGCAAAATATCCTCTGCGGGCTGATCTAGTGCATTAGAGCTTTCATGGAGAGGAGAGTCCACGGGACCTTCGAGACCCGGGGAAGTGGCCGATTCATTGTTGGACGAATCAGCAGACGCGTTGGCATTCTGACTGGCACTGAAATCGGGTTGAGTAGGTCCCATGACTGCTGTGCCCCCTTGCTATATCCTGTGTGTACCCAAGTAAAGAATAGGATTGTATAACTGAAAAGGGTTGTGATGAGATTATTGCATAACTTGGGGTTCCACACAAGGTCAACAATGCGATTTCGGACAGTATAGAATTGAATTAGAACAATTAGAAAGTAGGATACTCTAAACCAAAGAAAACCAGAGAGAAGAAGAAGAAAAAAAAAACTCTTCGAGAGCTCAAGCTCCCCACCTCTCTGTCGGTGAAGAATGGGGAAGAAAGTCCAGGCCCCGGTGCTGTAAAATACATACACAAAAATACACGTAAATAGACACATGTGCATGTATTGGCCGTACGAAGTATCGTATTATAACACCTTTCCCCTAACCTCCGTCTCTCCTCTCCACCTTTAGGCTTCATCGTTCTCCTGGACCTTTCTCTCTATTCCTCTTGATTCTGTACTTATCCTTTTCTTTGGTGTCGCGATATTCTCATCTTGAAAGCATTCAACCCCGTTGCTTCTATCCTTTTTTCCCGGTCAGTGTTTACAAATGCCCACCTACGTCAACTCCCTCTTCTCCTATCTATTCCCCTCCCCGATTATATCCCACCCCAACACCAACAGTCTGGAGTGCTTTTTGCTGACACTGCATGATATACAGATATTGTAACAAAAAAAAAGCTGCCCCTCCTCCCACGTGGACACATCTGAAACTTGACAAGCTTTTGCTTCCTTCTCCCCGCCTATTCGCCGGAAAGTCATGGCTTCTCTCAATCTCTCGTCCAATGGCCCCTCGATATCAAAAAGTTATCAGACAGTGGTGAATGCACCGCCCCCTTCTGGGAACGGAGGGTCTGCGACCTATGGCCAATGGGCTGTCTACTCGGTTTCTACCCCGCTTGTTAGTGCCTTCCAGCAAGATGGAGGTAAGGAGAGTGTCCTTAAGGTCCAGAGCACCGGAGGTTAGTGATCCTTTTTACCGACCAAGCCCATCACCTTATATTAACCAATCGTACTGCAGAGGGTGAATTGGCGGATCTCATCGAGGAATTTTCCGAAGGACGGGTGCAATTCGCCTATGTAAAGGTGACGGATTCCAACACCGGTCTTCCCAAAAACGTTCTCATTGGCTGGTGTGGAGAAGGTGTGCCGGAACGAACAAAGGGCTACTTTACTAGCCACCTGGCTGCAGTTGCCAAGTTCCTTCATGTGAGGAGTTTCCTTCCCCTGATGCAACTGTTGTGGTGAAACTGACTTGGCTGGATAGGGATACCATGTGCAGATCACAGCCCGAGCAGATGGGGATCTAACCCCCGAGGGAATCGTCCAGCGGGTGGCAGATTCCTCTGGCTCCAAGTATTCAGTAGGCGAGGCCTCAGCCCGGGCCCCAGCCCCCGGCCTGCCGTGGCTAGCAAGCCTGCTTTCACACCGACTCGATCTGGGGGCATCACCCCCAGCCCAGCTGCTCGCGTACTGCCCACACCTTCAAGAGCTGGCGTGAATGATGATGGATGGGGTGCAGATGCCCCTCCCGTGACTCGCACCCAATTGGAAAAGGTACAATCGGCTTACCAGCCCACTAGAGTGAACTTACAAGAACTCAAGGCAAACCCCACAGCGAGCCGCCAACCTGCCGCTACTGCATCGGATGATTCTAGCGATGTGGTTAGAGGTGGTTACCAGCCAGTGGGTAAAGTCGATATTGCTGCAATTCGGAAACAAGCTGCCGCATCTGGTCAGCTGAAAGATGAGCGCCCGGCAATCATCAAGGGTTCTTACGAGCCCATTGGCAAAGTCGACATCGCTGCTATCCGAGCTAGAGCACAGAAGCCGGAAGCCAGTGACAACGTCCCATCGAGCACCGCATTCAGCCAACAGCCAACAACGTTGCCCGAGCGACCTGCGCCCTCTCATGCCGCGGAGCGTTTGACCACCCTACCCAAGCCAAGGGTTGCCAACAAGTTTGGCTCTAGCCCCTCCTTCCCTGGAACAAAGCCACCCCTCCCAGTTGGTCTCGGGCCTAAGCCAACCACGAGCGCGCCGATTGGAACTGCAAGCCGAACTTTTGCTGATGAGGGAGGCAAGACACCCGCTCAAATTTGGGCAGAGCGTAAAGCCAAGGAGCGCGGAGTCGCTCCGTCATCTGGAACCACTGAGCCTACCTCTACTCCTGCCCCGATTCAAAGCCAACCTAGTGGCCAGAGCGAGTGGAGAAGCTCCTATGCGGGCAAGTCCTGGGCTCCCGTTCAAACCGCACAGGAGAAATCATATGATCCTGAACAGCCTGTTGATGCAAAGGCCAATGACCAACAAGAGGATAAACCACAACCTCACGTGAGTGCTATTCGTGACCAGTTCGCTCAGGACACGCCCACACCGGCGCCCGCGCCACTCGCTCCTCCTGCTCCACCTGTTCCGCAGGCCAGTCGCCCTGTTCCCGTACCCGGGCTATCCTCTGGACCCGTCGAGTCTGAGCCTGAGCATGATGCCCAGCAGGCTCTTCCTACTCCACCACCGCAGCCTCCTCGCTCCCCGACACCTCCCTCCCCGGAGCGTGAGAGCTCGCCGATCCAGATTGCCATGCCGGTTGGCCGTGGCGCTGCCGACAGTGTTGCGGATGCGCACGAGGAACAATATTCCCCTCCCCCTGCTATGCCTGTTCGGAGCCTCCAAGAGGCCGTTCCCGACGAGAGGGAAATTGAGGATGATTCTCACGACCTGGGCCGCGCTGCGGCCGAGGCAACCGCTCCTCAGCAGCCCGAGCAGCCCCAAGGCGGACCGCGAGCTCAGATCCAGTACGACTACGAGAAGGCCGAGGATAATGAGATTGAATTGCGAGAGGGAGAGTATGTGACCGACATTGAAATGGTCGACGAGGATTGGTGGGTGGGTGTCAATACTCAGGGTGAGCGTGGTCTCTTCCCCGCCAACTATGTGGAGATTGTGGAAGACACAGAACCTGTGTCACACGCACCAGCCGCTTCCGATCATTATGAAGCGGAGCCAGAGCCAGAGCCTGTTGCTGCCCCCGTCCCGGCGGCACCCATCCCTGTCGCTGCCGCTACACCATCGGTGGCTACTCCAAGCTCCAACGGTGTCACGGCCACAGCTTTGTATGACTATGAAGCTGCCGAGGATAACGAGATCGGTTTCCCTGAAGATGCAAAGATCTCCAACGTGGTAAGTGGAGCAATCCCTGTTTTTCTCGGCTTTGCCCCATCACTATCTACAGTGCTAACCCGGTTGTAGGAATTCCCCGATGACGACTGGTGGCTTGGTGAGTACAATGGCAAACAAGGTCTATTCCCTGCCAACTATGTTCGCTTGGACGAATGATTGGATAATGCGTAGATACTCCGACTCCAGCAATGCGACCAGGGGAAATTCAAAATTCTATTGATTCGCCAAACTAGATCTAACTATGTATCCTTGGTTCTTTCAGTATAAATACCCAGTTCACTACCACTTTCAATTCAAATGGAGTCAATAAGGCTCATTCGAATGACTCATTATCTTGTAGTTCTAGATTTACATCTTATCCTCGTAGTATTACTCCTTTTGAACATGTATGCATATATAGTATCCACGTGCCTGGATGTGTATTTAAAGCCAACGAATCACCGACGTCATGATCGGAGACACATGCTTATGTCAGCATCACGTGTGCCGAAAAAGTGGCCATAAACAATGTTCCAAGGTTCCAAGGAGAGTTGCTTAGGCCTTCAGGGATCCCGGTGACCGTTTGCACGCGACCTCACTTTGCGTGTACCTTTACTAGTTTTTCACTCTTCTTAACTCCGGGCTCTAACTCTTACCTGTGTGTCTCAAGGAGCCAGCCTTCAGTTCGACATCATGACATCGCTGGGCGAGGATCTGCTCGTGACAGTGAACAAGCTTCAGGATCTGGTCTTCAATACCATTGGGAATGATTCCTTGGATTTGCCCCAAATTGTGAGTCTAGTCGGGTAGAGAGCTCTCGGAGGTTGAGAGAGAATTGTCATTTGATACCCGGTCAACCCAAGACTAATCCCCGCTTCCCTCTTAGGTTGTTGTTGGTTCCCAGTCATCCGGAAAGTCTTCGGTCCTAGAGAATATCGTCGGAAGGGACTTTCTACCAAGAGGTAGCGGAATTGTCACCCGACGGCCCCTCATCCTGCAACTTATCAACGTGCCCAGTGAACGTGATGATAAGCCGGAAAACGATGAGGTCCATATCCCACACACGGCTGCCAGTGTTGCCGGTCAACACGAATGGGCTGAATTCCACCACCAGCCGGGACGTAAGTTTGATGACTTTGCACAAGTGAAGCAAGAGATCGAAGCAGAGACGGCAAGAATCGCAGGAAGCAACAAGGGCATCAATAGACAACCGATCAACCTCAAGATATTCTCACCTCATGTGCTCAACCTCACGCTCGTGGATTTGCCTGGATTGACGAAGGTGCCCATTGGTGATCAACCGTCGGACATTGAAAAACAAACACGCACCTTGATTTTGGAATATATTGCCAAGCCGAACAGCATTATCCTTGCGGTCTCTCCGGCTAATGTCGATCTGGTCAATTCGGAGGCGCTGAAGCTTGCCCGTCAGGTGGATCCCATGGGCCGGAGGACGATCGGTGTTCTGTCAAAGCTGGATCTCATGGACCATGGCACCAATGCGATGGACATCCTGTCTGGACGTGTGTACCCCTTGAAGCTCGGATTTATCGGCGTTGTCAACCGGTCCCAGCAGGACATCCAGTGTGGAAAATCGCTTTCCGATGCATTGCGGGCAGAGGCTGAGTTCTTCCGGCATCATCCAGCTTACCGGAATATGGCCAACCGGTGTGGTACGCACTTTTTGGCCAAGACTCTGAACACAACCCTGATGTCTCACATTCGTGACCGGCTTCCGGATATCAAAGCTCGGCTAAACACCTTGATGGGTCAGACTCAGCAAGAGTTGGCCAGCTACGGAAACAAACAGTTCAGTGGCGAAGAACACCGGGGATCATTGATTCTTCAGCAGATGACCAGGTTCGCCGCGTCGTTCATCTCGTCTATCGACGGAACTTCCTCGGAGATTTCTACGAAAGAGCTATGCGGTGGAGCAAGGATTTACTACATTTTCAACTCTGTTTTTGGAAACTCACTGGAAACCATTGATCCCACTCACAACCTGACTGTCTCCGACATCCGAACGGCCATCCGAAACTCGACAGGTCCTCGTCCCAGTCTGTTCGTCCCGGAGTTGGCCTTTGATTTGCTGGTCAAACCACAGATTAAACTCCTCGAATCACCCAGTCAGCGATGCGTGGAGCTGGTCTATGAGGAGCTTATCAAGATCTGCCACACATGTGGCAATCAAGAGCTCCTGCGTTTCCCTCGTCTCCAAGGAAAGTTGATTGAGGTCGTATCTGACCTTCTTCGTGAGCGCCTGGGCCCCTGCTCGACTTATGTAGAATCTTTGATCTCGATCCAAAGAGCTTACATCAACACCAACCACCCGAACTTCCTTGGTGCCGCAGCTGCCATGTCTTCAATCATGCAGAACAAGCAGGACGAAGAAAGAAAAGCCTTGCTAGCGGAGGAAAAAAGAAAGCGTGAGAAGCGACGTCAAAAGGAATTGGGAGCTCCCAATGGGACTACGGGAGGTCCTGAGGAAGAAGAATATTCTGACAAGCAAAACCCCCCCGTCCGAATCCACTCTTCTAAGGGATCGCGAAGCATGTCTCCTCATGTTGGCCGCACAGGCGAGAATGGCATTGCTGCTTCTCTGAATGGCAGTCAATCTAACCATGCTGCGTTCGGTGGCGGTGGCTCGAACAATGCCCGCGACTCGTTCCTGAACTACTTCTTCGGTAAGGAAGGTACTCACAACATGGCCATGCCACCGGCAGGCATGAACCCCCACCGGCAAGGGCCAAATGTTGGTGAGCCGAGCATTAGCCAGAGCATTCGGCGTGCCGAGGTTCGGGCTCCCATTATGCCGACTGAGGGATACACTGCACCGTCGGAGTATGGTGGTGACATCTCTGTATTCGTAAGTACCACTGCGCATTCGTTGTTTAAGCTTTAGATGGTTATGGCTGACTTCAACTCTTACAGCCCAATGAGAACACGGAGCCTGCACTCACGGAACGTGAGATGCTCGAAACTGAGCTCATTCGCCGTCTCATCTCATCATACTTCAACATCGTCCGAGAAACCATTGCAGACCAGGTCCCCAAGGCTGTCATGCACCTCCTTGTCAATCACTGCAAGGATGTGGTGCAAAACAGACTCGTGAGCGAACTTTATAAAGAAGATCTTTTCGGTGAGCTTCTCTACGAGGATGATGGTATCAAGGCCGAGAGAGAGAAGTGTGAGCGGCTATTGGAAACGTACAAGGAAGCCGCCAAGATTGTGGGCGAGGTCTTATAGATGGTTAACTGTTTTATTATTTTGGTCTGACTCCGGGGTAGCCCGGGAGATCTTGATTTTGCGTCATGCTTGATGCCTTACCTTTCCACTCAAATGGTGTGGACAATGTTGCTTTTTCTCAATTTATGTACAACTACTGCAGCCTGCACATGATATCGATATATTTTTCCTCTATTCGTGGCATGGCTTCTAGAAGTAACCGGCTCTAAGGTAAAACCGAGAAAACTCGCGCAAAAGGAATTTTGTCTAGACATTTAGATCAAGATCTATCTAATATGATATATCACTGGGCCTTTTTGGCAACGCTTCGTAGACGTGCACCCTCAAAGCCATATAAACCACCCCCGACAAACACCAAAGCCGCGCCAACCAAAACACCTCCAGCCAAATTATTCCCGAAGAGGTAAATCGATAGGAGCAGCGAAACCAACTTGCGAACATTCAAGAAAATAGTCACAGTCAACGATGACGACTTGGCCGACAAAAGATGGACTCCCCGGATACACAGGTACTGCGTCAGTGCATTCATCGCCAGATAAGCCACCTGAACCGGCAGATGCGCCAGGAAAGCCTTGACAGCCTCAATGTGGCAAATCCGCCCCAGCACCGAGAAAGCAGTGCTCCCAACCGCACCAGACGACCCCCACAACCCGGAATCCAAATGCGACAGCAAAGAAGGCGACGAAGCCACCACCCGCCACTGACCCAGCAACTGCGGACAACTCGTCAAGAAAAGCGGCAGAGAAAGCGCATGCGAGTAGAAAAGCGCCTCTTTCCAATGATCTCTGCCGTAAGTCGCGTACAGCCGGTCGGCATAGATGCCCTGGAACGCAGAAAGGACCATTGCGAGCGCGAGGATTGTGAAGCCCGTCACGGTCGTGATTGTATCCGCCGCATCGGACTCGACGTGGATAGATACGCCTTTGGATTGCGCGTCGGCCATGGCGGCTGCCGCCACGCCCACCGTCAGCATCGCTACCGAGGCGATCTGGCCGCGGGAATAGCGCTTGCCGTTGTATAGGTAGCCGATTACCATTGAGGCGACGGGGCCTGCGGACCGGAGGATTATGTGTAGTGGGACGGAGATCTTGTATGCGAAGGCCCAGTTGTTGAGGAGGTTGACGCTCATGAAATAAGCGGTGTATACCACCCATGAGCGTAGTGGGATAGCGCGTGGGCGCAGAAATAGAGCTCGTGGTCCGGCTGAGGGGGATAGGAAGGTTGGGATGGTGAAAATGGCGCAGATCGCGAATTGGGCGAATGTTATCAAGGGACCTGTACGTGGAACGAGTTGGGTTAGGATATGCGGTGCGGTTGTTTTCATTCGTTCTGGTTGTCGTTCTTACCGGCAGTAGGCTGTTCTCTGAAGAAGATATAGGATTAGCGTTGTGTTTGGATTGGCCTGGTTTGTTTTCTTACTTGATAATCGCCTCCAGCGCAAAGACCTGTAAAGAATCAGTTCCTGTTTTGGCTCCGTAGCAGCGTTGAGGGTTTCTCTAGACACCCACATTGGCACAGCAGCCCCCGAAGATAAGAGAGACCATTAGAACCATGCTTGTCCAGCTAGGAACCGCCGCATGGGCGGCGGCAGCAACGAGGCCCGGGGCATCTTTCTTCAATTGGGCATAATCAAGCTTGTCCTCGGATTTTTGAGATCGCGATGTGGGGGGCGAAGCGACGTTCGCGCTTCTGTTTGATTGATTCACAGTAGAGACTCGAGAGCGATTGATCAGGTAGGAGTCATCGTGTCCTTTTGAAGGTTCATGATCATTGAGCATCCTATTCGAGTGTGAGCGATATTGACAGAGAGGAATTGCAAACAAAGATGAATTGAGTTTCTTACCTTTTAGGAGTTTCAAAGGGCGACTCCTATGAAAAGGTGAGATGAGGTGGTTAAAAGAAAGAAAGCTGGGGCTGAAGATAAGATTGTG